TTATAACATTACTGTGAAAAGACATCACTGTGAAAGCTGCTGTGATAATTACTTTCTTTTTTTACTTGCACTGAGAAGCAATAAACATAGTATACATACATATACACATACACACATATACATATACATATACATATACACACACATGTTATCATAAGGCAGCACTGAAGAAATTGTTAAATTTTGAAATGTAAGATTTTCACATCCAGTGCAGTTTGATGTTGTATTGTTTTTTTTGTTTTTTTTGGCTTTTAAAAATTATTATTTGAAATATTTATGCTTAATCTTGAAAGTACTTTTGGGTAGCGTGACAAACAATCCTACTGTGAATTGCAACACATGATCTATACCTGTAATTATGAAGACCCTTCCCACCAAAAACACTCAACACATTGCATACATAGCTCTGTGTCAAAGAGCACACTGTTTTAGTTATCTCTTCTATTTTATTCTTTATTTATAAATATTACTTGAATGTTATGGAAAAAACAAACAAATAAATCATTTAATGGGTTGATTTGTTCAGACTTTTTTTTTTTTTGGATGTTCAGTACTTTCAGAGGTTATGAAGCCTTGAAAAAAAAATTATCGATCTATTTTGTCACCAGGCTGTTGGTTAAAGGAACAAACGCATTCTATTGCTTTTATCTATTTTTAGATGAAATATTTAAAAATCTTAAAGGTTTGCATTTGTGGTTTGAGTATTGTATTTTATACATCAGGATTTTGTCTCGTATGATAAAGGAGAACATGGAGATCATACTAAAGGAAAAAATGCCAATTGAGCAATTTGGTGCTGATACTTATATGGACAAAACTAGATAAAGTTTTGATAACTTGTAATATGTCAAAAAGATCTTATAACAGACTTCTGACATAAAAATTATATAAATGTCCTGGTAAGATGAGATTTAAAAGCATGGTTTATTATCAAAGTTCTGTGTTTTATTGACCTAAAAATGGACATTTATAGAAAGACCCTAAAAGGCCTTTTACTAGTATAAACTATAAATAAGATGACTGGAGGAATGTAGTAGATTGTGTGCAAGAGGTTTTTGTGTTTATCATTTCGATACTTTAGAAATGATGTTTTATTGGGTTAATAGTGATGTTACTAATGACACATGAATTATTACTATAAAAAAAGATGGCAGATAGATATAGTCTGAGTTATGAAGGAAAATGCACAAATGTACAATCGCCCCATCAGCTGCTCTAGCATTTAAGCCATTTGCATGCACTGGATTCATCTCTTTAAAATGCCCTGGAGTTTTTTTTTTGTTTTGTTTGTTTAACTGTTCTTAAATAACAATCGAACTGTATAAAGTCTTCCTCATGGTTTCCGCTAACAATATTCAAGTTGCGTGGTAGTCAAGGTCACTGAGTATTCACTGCTCTTCTCCAAAAACCACACTGTCTTTGGAGTTCCGCTTCAATGGTGCACTGTGCTCAACAGTGGCAACAATAATGACAGTAATTGGAGCATGACTCCTGACATTGGTATCTCAGCACCTGTGATGTCCTCTAATTGATTCCCTTCTATGAGATGGACAAAAATGTTGTGTAAATGCCAGAGAGGATTCCTCTGAAATGCTGCTGGTTTTTGTAAAACTGTAAGTACTGTCATGTGAGGCATTAAAAAAAGAAAAAATAGCTTCAAATGTTTTAGCATTATGCAAAACAGGACCTACAGAACAGGTATTGCTGGAATTAAAAAAAAAAACTCTATAGAGAAACAATTTAAAAGTCATTCCCAAATGACCACGTTTATTTTAAAAGATTCAAATCATTTGATTACACTATGCATTCGATTACAGGCATATAAACTAATTCCTTTAACTTTAAAATAAAACTGAAGGTCTTAAAAGTCTTAATTTGCACTTAGTGTTTTTGTATTGTTTTCCAGTATAAGTGTCTGAACATCCTTAAATAATGATACGTTTAAAACAATCAACAAACTTATTTGATAAATTGCACAAAATTTATTAAATTGCTTTATGTCTGTCAATGAAGTATGAAAACATTTCGCTTTGAATTAAGTTGATTTTTCGTGTGTGTGTGTGGCACTAGGCTATAGTTCTGGCGGTGTTAATGTTCCCTTTCGATACTTCACTCATACTGCGTCTTGCTTAAGATGCATATGGGAAAAGATCCCGCTTGCCTCGCTCTCGCCGCAGAGAGAGTGTTCACCCGTCCTTTTCTCCCGGTCTGATCAGCGTCCCTCTGCTGATGCGAGCGACCTGATCTCATTTGGGGGAAGTGGAGACGAGCTGCTCGATGACAGCATGGGATGCAGAAGAGCTGTTGGGCTCTGAAAATGACCTCCACGCCCAGCGCCACCAAAGACGGAACGGATACCGAGCTTCTCCGTATCCTCTCCAAGGCGGTCGTAGAGCTGGGTTTAGAGTGGTCCCCTCCAGGGGAGCCCTCTCGCAGCCGTCTGGATGAATGGTTCCTGCCGGGGCGCGACAGGCCCCTCATCAGCGTACCTCTCCGTTCTTCCCGGAGGTCCATGACGAGCTCACCAGATCGTGGCACGCTCCATACTCCGCCCGTTTCCGTATTGCCTCTTCATCCGTCCTCACCTCCATCGACGGCGCTGAAGAAAAGGGGTACGATAAGCCGCCTCCCCTATATTAGTCAGTGGCCGCGCATCTCTGTCCGCCCACGGCCATCGGCTGGAGAGCAAAGGCCGCTCACCTGTCTAAGCCGTGTAGGTCTACTTCAGCTCTCGCTGGACGCGCCTACACCTCAGCTGGACAGGCTGCCACGGCGCTTCATTCTATGGCGGTCCTTCAGGTCTTCCAGGCCAAAATCCTCGCATCCACCGAGTCTGACCTGGACCCCGCGACCCTCAGGGATCTGAGGAGCGCGACGGACCTGGCTCTACACGCCACCAAGACCACCGCCCAGGCGATTGGGAGATCGATGGCCAGACTTGTGGTGCTCGAGCGCCATTTACGCTCCAGCTCCGCTGCCGTCTTAGTTCGCCCAAAATCTGCGCCGACTCAGCAGCCTGCGAAACCAGCGCCTGCCACCCCCGCTGTTCAGCCCGCTAAAGCGCAGCAGACGTGGGGACGCTCTCGCTCGGCCAGACGCTACCCTCCTCCTAAGCGCCAGGGACCCCGACCCAAGATTGCGTTGGACCCAGCGCCTCAGGCGTCATCCTGATCCGCGAGACAGGAAGAGGATGTGGTCAGATCTCGCCACGGCCGGACCGCCTCTCAGGCAGCCTCTCTTACACCTCTTGACACCCCGTTCAGCTCCGGGTACAGAGGGAAATGTGTTTTGTGCAAACAACGGGCTCCTTCATGCGCCCAAGCATCCGACCGCTGTGATAGCGGGAAAAATAATAAAACACAAACATTTTCAAAAAGAGAGCAAACTTCCTCTTCCATCACTCGTACGTGTTCTGCCCCCATGCGGCCAGTCACCCGAGTTAATTCAGCCCCTCGTCACGCGGGCTGAGGCCTGGCAGGCCATCCCCGGGGTGTCGGAATGGGTTATGGGCATAATAAAGCGAGGATATTCACTCCAATTCGCTCGAAGACCCCCGCGCTTCAGCGGCGTGGTCCCCACCTCCGTGCAGAGCAAGGA